AACGACTGGGTTGCTTTGGACAGTTCTGCAACTTCTAAACCCCTTACTCACACCTATCACCCTATTACCTTGAATGTAACTCAGGAGGTATATAGAAATCCACTGAAAACAGTAATACAGCACTTTAGAAAATACAGAAAAATCACTTAGCTTTAAGATTTCAAATATGGACAGTCTTATGTCCCAGGTCTCTGAATGCCAGTGGAAATCAACCTCTGGTTTAAAAACTGAATACTAAAGCTATACCCACACAATACTGAGTTGATGTTGATCAGTAGAAGGAAATTCCATTAAAAACTCGTATTCTCAATAGCATTCCCTCCTTATTAAGACTCTCTGATTGTTGAAATAATTTGCCGTTTGTGGCTGTCTTTGGTACTGAATACACAAACAGCTGAGGAAAAAGACAAAACTTCTTACATCTACAATCAGTTATATAACTCAGACATATTTATGAAACAAACATTTCTATGTTCTAAATAAATCTTTTAACACATTTATTCTCTTGCATAAGAATAAAGTCTTCACGTACCCTTCAGAAAAACATTTACAGGCTTTAAAGTGCAAAATAGGTCATCACAAACACACTACCTAATAGTGTTCTCTACAGCTCCATTTAAGAAGTCCATTCTCACGTCTTCATTACATTCAAAGCCTTCAACTAGCTTTCTCTTGCCTTCTCCAATGTAATAGTAGGACAGTTATGGTCCATTGGAACTTTAAAGGCTAAAACTTTTAAAAGGGAAACAAAACATTCAGATAACCCACTCCCATTATATTTCAACAAAGTCTACCTGTTGGTTGCAGCTCTCTGCCTTAGCCTCCTTTGAAAAACCTCAGCCAAAACTAACAATCAATCTGAGCTGGAAGAGGAACTCGGGGAAACAAGACTCTTAGAGAACTGGATGTGCACTCTGCAAGCAAATGCTGCGTGCGTGATCATGGACCTTAGCGCAATTCAAGATACACAAAGCTCAAGTCTTCAGCTTAGCTTTCCCACACCTGTAGCAGCAATACAGCTAAGAACAATCACGTTGCCTTACTGTTTGTTTAGGTTGTCAGATGTGTGAGATTTCAAGCCTTGTTTCAATGTTTAAAGTACCTGAGAATTACGCAGATGACGTGGAGAGATTCATGAATGTGTATGTATCTCAAATAAAATACATCAGCATGCTTCAAAAAAGTCCCCCTCTACAAATGAAGCTAAAAACAAAACCCCCAAACAGCAAAGGCTGGGAAGTAATCACAATTCAAGATATGACACTGCTGAAGGCAGGGGGAAAAGTCTGCACAACACAGAGCTGGAATCTAAAGTAAGGAATGCTTGGGCATTTCTCTTGTTTGCAAGTAGAGAAAATATGATCTACAATTCTTTTAAAAATCAAAATTAGTAAATTATCAATCCAAAATGAGAATCAGTTTTCCAATGAGAAAACGGAATCAACATTAGATGCTACAGAATATTTGAGAATGTGAAGTTTATAGATGATAAAATGCCTTTAGTGAACTAGCAGTGTTGTCAGAAACCTCCATTTTGTCATGCTATTATAAACATCTTAGAGATGGATATTACCTAATTGGGGGTGGGGGAAAAAATGTTCCTGTCCTTTTTTCTGTCTTTCCTTTGATCAAAAACTCTTCATAAAAATGCCATAATTGTGATTCGAACAATTTGTTATAGAAATCTTTTTGAGATTTATCAACAAATTAAAGTGCTCTAAGATGGTTGGTCTATAAGAAAGAGAATCTGTCTTACAGTCAAAATAACATCTTCTTTATTCTGAGACAACTGAGAGGAAATTCCTTAAAGATCAGTGAATGTAAAAGTCAGTGTTGGCTGGAAATGAATCTGCCCCCATTACACTGCAAATCACCTTCGACAGTTAGACACTTCGACAATCATCTTCGATGATTTAGATCAGTACAGTCTTCTTTGGAACCACACCGATTACAAATACGCCTTGGAACAGATATGTGTATGGGTCACGCCAATTGCATTTGTAGCAAAAAAAAAAAAAATCCTTATTGAAATCCATGGAATAATTACAGGCCCCATATAAAAGTATCAAGAAGAGATGAACTGTCTTGAGCTCCAAAAAACTGGTAAGCTGGAGAGAGAGAGAGATAACTGAGCTCCAAAAAACTGATAAGCATCAAGAGAAAGAGAAGAACTGGAACAAGCTCTAACAATAAGAGCAGCACTCTTATATGGAAAAAGCCTGGTCCAATCCAAACAATTAAAGACAATCCTAACAAGTTAAAACTCTGTGTCATCATTATACAACAATACTAAATGACAACTAGATCCCACATACTACAGTTCCTGAACTTACACTAAACTAAGCTAAGTTCATAGTATCTGAACAACTCAAAACAGCAAGAAAGAAATTCACTAGTACAGTAAATTAAGAACTCTGCAGCACTCAGACTCATCAGAAAGAAGAGAAAGGGACAGCATTATTCTCTTCCCAGCATCTGTATCATAGCATGGGGGGTGACAAGACACCCCAGTTACCAACTGCAGCAAGGATAAGTGGCTTTAAGGAAGCCTTCTTTAGCTATTTTGATTTTATTTTTAGATAGTACTAAAATAAAGCAATAGATATTTTTTAAATTGCCCAATAGTATGTAGAACATAAACAGATATTTGATATAATTAATTTGGATACTGAAAGATATCAGTGTCTTTATGTACAGTACCTTGTTGACCTCTGCTAAAAAGGCTTACACAACTACTCAAGGTTGATTACTTGCATGGACTGCAACTCTGCAGAACAAACAAGACAGATAAATTCTTACTGTGATCTATTCAGACTGCAAATCTGTCTACAGATATGCCTTGTTGGGGTGACCCTGGTAAAAAAAATACTGTAAAAAGAGTAAAATACAGTCTAGAGCCCAACATGATGTAAGCTACAGTCATCACACATGTCCATGCAGATTCAAAACCTTACAATGAGACCCTGATTCAAAAATACTTTACTACAAGTAAAGTACTACTTTAATACAAAAAACTACCACTGCTCTCTGTCTCCCAACACATATTTTCCTCCTTATTCCCTACCCTTCATCCCCTACCTTATTTCCTGCCTCCATCATTGTAAATCTAGACACTGGGTCCCACTTCCTCTTCGTTTTTACACCAGTGTAGCTCCAGTTACCCTACCTTGGCACACTACTCAGAGTATAACAGAGCTCTTTCACATCATTTGAGCAACTGCATATTGACCATCACTTTCAGAGAATTTTTACTGGTCTGTTAATTACAGAGTAATTTGGCTACAATGTTTGCTCACTCCGGGATTTATTTTGGGGGCGGGGGTGGTCATTTTGGGGTTGATTTTTTTGTTTGGTTTTGGGGTTTTTTTTTAATTTGTTAGCAGTCTGTTCCTAAATACTTGACTATGGCTTGCACATCAAGGATGAGGTCCAAAGCACTGCTAATTCTACAGTTATCTTTCCACTGCAGTGACCTCAGGATGAAAAGGATTACTATGGTGCCGAGGGAAGAGCTACAAATACCAGATGCTACTCAACACAGGTCACGGAAGAAGGACTTATGCTGGGCATGTACCTGCTCCTTTCCTACAGTCCTCTCACATCCATACCTCACCAGCACTACTATACTCAGTTTCTTCCCTACTCTTTAATATTTCCCCTAGCTTCTTTGCTGCAGTGGTCTCTTTGGTTCAACTTCAGACAGAGCATGTAAGCAGCAGAGACATGCTCACATGGACTGATTTGTTAGGGGGCCATTAAATACACTGTATGACTATCAATGTTAGACTTTTATCTTCTTTCTCATTACAGTAACCCCCTCCCATGCCTGCCTGACAACTGGTAGGCCAAATGGTTTTGTGGCTTATTTGGCATCTCACATTTCTTATTTCTCAAACCACCCATCTTTCCCATTACATTCCATGTCTATTTTCTCAGAAAAATTAAATCCTCCTTACATTCCTGAAAACAAACTGATACAAATTGCAGTACTCTACCAGCTCCTTTAGCTTTCTAATCAATTTATAAATTAATACCACCTTACTGTCTGAACATACATTTTGAAGGCTTCCCTAAGGCTAACACTCAAAGACGAGATTCCTTCTCCATAAGACACAGAGCCTTCAAGCATGTCCTGAAGCTCTTAACATGAGATCCTGCATGCCTACGGTACTCAGTAGCTCGGTGTGCTGCCAAGCACACTCAGACTGTTCAAAGGCAGTTATACTGTTGGAAGGCAAGTGCATACAGAGAGGATTGTGCTGACATGCATTTCCATGCCCAACTGCTGCACAGATACAGCCAATTCTGCACCCTATTTCAGAAACAATACTGAAAAATTACAAAGAAAAGGAAACAGTGCTGTAGAATTGCTATTGCCATTTTTTTTAATAAGGCTTTTCACAGAAACAAATCAAAGCTATGTTCTTGCTACCATCGTGAGCCATCTCCTATACAAGTCAAGCACAAAAAATTATTTTACTGGAATCAGATTTTTTGCTTCTCTGCTGCCCTAATGTTGATAATATTATCAGCATTATGGGCATGAGGCCAGTTGAGAATAAGCCCTTGTAATAAGCCCTACCCCTTCAGTGAGAGGTAGTAGTGCCCTGGAATACGCATCAATATTCTGTTGTGAACACTTATGCATCTGAATGCTTCACAATACTCATGATCACAGTACGGAAATATTTAACATTTGGTAAACTGAGACAGAAGAAAGCAAATTCTCTGGTAAAATAGGGAATCAAACTCCCATGTGCTGATACTAATCAGTGGACCATCCTTGTTTTCAGGACTAAAATGGACAAAACAGATGGGAGAAGAAAGCACCTACCACAAACTGATACCCAAATTACACTCAAAATTCAGGTCTCCTGAAATCCAGTTTATTGCCATTTAGGTTACACCAGGTATTGTACTAATACTCTGCTACTGAAATGAGGCTTGAAACAAAAGTTTACCAAACAGAAATGGCTGATAATCAGGCAGCGAAGCCTCACCTGAATGAGATAGTGAGAACATAAACTGAGAAGCTCCAGCAGCTGCAAATGACTCCCAGCTGCTAGGACATCCTGTATCACCCCTGGTTCCAAGAGGATCTGTAAAGAAGAAAATGGAAGGTTTGTCATGTAGAACTCAGAGTACTTGTAGAAAATACTACAGGTCTTTGTTATTTCAGACATTTAAGTCAACATAAAGAGCAAGAAAGAATAAGGGAGAATAAGAATTTCTTTCATAAAGAAAGAATACAATTAAGCATATAGATAAGTCTTTGCAGGATGGGGACAGAGGTTTTAAAGTTCACCTGAATTGCCCAAAGGATTTTTAAGCAGATTTTCCTGTGAGAGTCCATAAGTCACATTACCCCCTAAATCATTTAAAACTAACTGCATGTTATTTATTTAAAAAGGAGACTTTGCAAAATAACAGCACCTCCTTTTGTTATCCATATACCTGGATGCTTCCATATATACTGATGAATCAGGCCAACAGAACTGACTCAGAAGTCTCCAGTATTAATATTATTCATGCTTGTAAAAAATATACAGGCTAGGAACACCCTTCCCATTCTGCATGGTACCACTTCATAATTTTCCTAACCACTGTCTTCATTTTACAGAGCAAGGCTGTGAAGGCACAGAATGAGCATGCTGCTGGGGAAGTGCCAGAAAGGGCTTAGAAACCAACACTGATTATCCTGTCACTTGCTCACATGAAACTCCTACTCATTTCAATTAAAATCACACACAGGCAGCAGCCAGGATAATTGGGCCTCAGCTCCTAGCCTGCTGTTTTGGGGTCAGCTTGTTAGAGCATCCCTTTCAGGACACAAAAAAGTCTTTGGGAATACAGACACTGGTCAACTTCTTATCAGCAATCACATCACAAACTATCCAAACTAATATTATATTTAAATATAAGTGGTGCAGCATCCAACAAAAATCAGAAATGCATGAGAATAATTAATTTTTCAAAGACAGTCAGTTTATTCAGTTTTATCCTTGTTGTATTTCCCCTAGCAACATTGGTTTCACACCACATGAGGTCAGTCTCTCACTGCTCCACAGGGAAGTAAAGCTTTTTTTCAGATCCTTTTTCTTCTGCCCACACAATTTAGTTTTATCGCATAGCATCATTTATGTCTCAAATGCAGTGGAATAAGGAGGATGACAAAAGAAAAGACACTCATCTGCATCTTTTGCAGTTAAACTGTTTTTGAAGGAAATGAACAAAACACATGCATTTTTTCAAGCAAAACCACAAATTATCTCCTTCATAAGGGATATATTAGGAACAGGAGAGAAGGGGATTGATTCTTGTTTATAGCAAGAACTCATATTGAGTTCTGTCAGTGTATGACATGCTTAAAGCTTGTGCACATCACTATATATATTCATACTAGGTTTTAAGTGAACATATATGTAATCTATATACTGTATAAAGGTTCTTTATCTCACCAGAAAGACATATAAGGATCTTAATGTAAATGAGAATCAGGCCCAGCACAATCCAGGTTTTTGGCTGGTGCTAATGAGGTTGCGATGCATGACAAGAGGTAGTTCAATGGAAAGCTAGAAAGGATTTCAGTTACAAAAATGCCTCCAATAGCTATATATTTAAAAAAAAAAAAAAAAAAAAAAGAGCAGCACTGCCAAATATTTTCCAGTGAGAACTCAAGGTCAGACTGACAAAACAAGCTGGTTTAAACCTTGCAGTGTTTGTTATTCAGACATCATTTACACTGAGGAAGTTGTCATCTGATGTCATATTACTTACTAAGTGCCAGCCACCAGCTTAGCATTGTTAAACACACAATATGAAGAAAACCAGAACCCTAAGCAGATCACTACCTAGTAGACATAGACAAACTATATTTAACTGTGATAATGTATTTTAAAGCTACAACAATCAATTTACAAATAACATTAGTAGCATTATGAGGTAAGAAGTAGGACAAGAGGCAAGGAGGGTGACTGGTTACTACCTAGAGGTGATTTGCACAAAGTCAGCAACAAAAGTTCATTTCAAGGTGGCAGACATATTTCTTACATGTTTTCCCATTTCTTATAGCTTTCCTATACCATGCAAGATTTATTCTGCTGATATAACATATTCACCTTTGTGTTTCCCAAGATAACTGAGGAAAGTCTATTTTGTCTCTTCCCAAGACTTTGCCTTAAATGGAACTATCTGAATTTTTATTCAATACTTATTTGGATACAGGCAAAATTACTAATTCATCTGTGTTAAATGTTCACCATCAGCAACCTGCATGCTGGGGAAACCCACAAGAAAAAGAGAACAAGTAAAGAAGGAAGAAAATATTGCAAGCCTTCCTTCTACTGAAACTGGAGTAATTCACAATTTTTCCACACCTCTCAGCTTCTATACATTAATACAATTACAGCATAGCTGTTTATATGCTATATAGGCCATCCAGCTGAGTCTTAACAGTAAATGCACATAAATACCGCTATATGCACACCACAAGTACACACAGTGACTGACTCTCCTCTGTTTTTCTAACCCTCAAAACAAGAGCTCTGCAGTCTTCAGAGTGATGCTTATTGAAAATTAAGGAGAGGGCAATTAAGATCTACTTTGGATTCACACCTTCAAAATTAATCACAAATTATTAGTGTGAAAACTAAAGAGAGAAGCTTAATCCTCAACCCAAGGGTTACAAGGCATCATTATCAGGGCAGAAACTCAGAGTAATTTGGAACCATCAACTTCAGACAAACTTTGCAATCTTCACCAGTGAAGGATATGCCTTTGTATGACACAAGCCATCTTAAGACTGGTTTCTGTGCTATTTTTATATTAAGATTAATTAGATGCAATTTGGGTATTGCACCTGGCTGCATCTTACAATCAGTCCTCTATTCAACCCTTATTTCTGAGGGTTAATTTTCATTATGCTCTCAACTTTTCTCTGGCCCATCATGCTACCCAAGAAAATCAGCTTAACCACCTTCTCCCTGTGTACAATAGGCAGATCTTGCAGATAGCCTGAGTAACTTACTTTCCCAAGCCACCAGGTCTGACATACTGCTCATTTTCAAACTGGTCTCCTTTGTCAAGCTGTATTTCTCCTCTCCCACAACGACTGTGTTTTCAAACAGGAATTCTGTTCTTCAAGGCAGCCGTTCTACCCTCCATCATCCCACAAACCTTTCAGAGAGCATGCACTAAATCCAGTTCACTCCCTCTTGTGGTCAGATCCATAAGCCAAGAGATAGAAAGGATGCAAAAATTTGGTGTTTCTTTGCAACAGAATGCTGAGTTCACAAGATCCAGAAAGGCAGATTACACAATTTCTTAGATCCACATTTCTTAGACACACAATTTAATCTATATGGAAATGCATCCATTTATGCTTTGTTGATATATTGAGGAAAGCTGCTCTGCAAATGCAAGAATTAGAAACTTTTGTAAATTAAACCTGAGCTTCTGAAACACAATTCTAAGGCAGAAAAGGGAATTCTATAATCAGCCCCATGGTCACAGATACACATGGCCCTGAACACCCCCCTGTACATCTGCCCTCTAGGCAGCAGTTCTAAAACTGGAATTCATTCCCCCTTCTCCCAAGATTTCCCTCTTCCTTTCCCAGCTCACCCTGCATCCCCTCCAACCCAGTACATCTTAGGGCTCTGGGTAAGTGTGGAAAAGATTAACTGGGATCAAGCATCTTGCCTCTTTCTTCAATCAGTTTTCCTTGGGAGACTTCCTGGCAACACAGAGCAACTAGCAGCTACGACTTCTTGGGCTAGAAGCAGTATAGGAACCACCACCCTTTCTCAAGGACAACTACTCATGCCCCACCTCCACATTGCCCAGACCGAGAACATCCTCCACTCTGTTAATGCCTCCTGCCCCCCTATAACCAACAAACCAGTATAGGCCAACAAAAAAATTGTATGGTTGTAGCAAAGAGGGTAGTAATGGAGAAAAGAGAGTGAGAAGGAAACTCCTTAAACTGTCCTTCCCAACAAAGAAACTTACAGCCTAAGGGAGAAGGTAAGGTCCAGATTAACTATCACCTCTATGGAGTCTCATGAGGTTTATATCCGGAAAGAACAGTTAGATCATTTAATCTATTCCCTGTATATTACAGGCCATTATATATTATATTTTTTATATATATTATATATAATTATGTATTATATTACACTAAACTAAAGCTGCTTTAGGCCCAAGGAGGCTGAACTGTGTGCCCAGACAAAGATGGAGAGATTGAGGATGCACTTCTATCACCTTCATTCCAGCTACTCATTTATACCCCTGTATTTCCTTCCCGTTTTCCTTTCAGCTGTTTGTGGGGCCATGGAATAAGTGAGGTGGTGGCATGATTCACATTAAAAATAAACCAGCATTACTCTATAACAGTAAGGAAATATGTAATGTCATGTCAGAAAATTCTAGAAAGTAAACCATATGGACTTTAACACAGAAAACAAGAAAAAAAAAATCCCAAGATTCCTGCCAGTCTGATGCAAAAGAAAATTCCTTCTTGACTCCACTTGCAGTGATCAGCATTTCAAACCAGACAGGCATCTAACAAAAGTACCACTTGTTTTTCCTCTCTGGAGACCATTCTGCGTGCTTCAGAGCACTCAAAAAAAGTAACTTTACTTTCAGAGCAATTTAGACTGCATTTCACTCACAACCAGTTAGCACTTCTGCCTGTCTCCCTGTTCATTCGTGCTTCAGTTGAATCCTGAGCTCCTCACACGTTGAGAAGTGCTGCTTCAGAACAGTGTGAGCAGGGGAAGAATGTTCTAGTCCCCTGCAGGCAACCGCCCAAAGCCCTGGCACGTAATGTTTGATAGTACTTGTTACAAAACCCAGATGCCTCATTAGCCAATGCCAGAAGGAATCATGACCAGCATTTCTCTGATATATGTCATAATATTTTTCCAGAAAACTAAATGAAAATCTATGTTAAATGCACAGCATATAAGTCACAGAATCATAGAATATCTCGAGTTGGAAGGCACCCGTAAGGATTATCGAGTCCAACTCCCTGCTTCTCGCAGGACTACCTAAAACTAAACCATATGACTAAGAGTGTCGTCCAGACGCTCCTTGAACT